AGATCATCTCAACCCTGGTTACAGGGAGGACTACTCAGCAAGAGAGAAATGGGACTTAGAATCCAGACTCCTTTCTTAGGGCCTAAGTCCTAAGAAAGGACCTAGGGAATGGTCTGTGTAACTGTCTTAATGACACAGAGAAAATTAAAAACACTGCTTTACAAACCACATCAGTCTATCACACACATAGTTTAGCCAGTCCCTTCTTGTGGGATATTTTTTCTTCTGTCTCACTGTGCTCAAATGCCAGGCAGCATAATTTTCTGCATAATTTAGGATCCCAAACCCCTAATGCTGTGTTCTCCAAATTAAACAAAAAGCCACACTAAATACACAAACTGAACAAAAAATGGAAGCCACCACTCTCCAACCCTAGGAATTAGTCATTGGCCATTGGGCATAGACCCTGGCATAAGTAGAACACTATCTCAATCCCTCACTAGTATTTGTCTTTGTCACGAAACCAAAGCCACAGTGAGTTGAGATAATCCGACCACAGGATCATCAGTTTCAAGAGCTAAAACACCAAAGGACAAGCAACAATGTCTTCTGCTTCTAAGGAATGACATGGAGTGCTGGTTACCTATACGGAGACCAGAACCAGAAGAGCCACAGCCCCAGACAAGGAGGTCTGAGATGGCCAAACAAAGCTTTCTCAGTTCAGCTGAGAATCTGCCTTTCCCTTTCTGCCATAATACATATCTATTTTGATCACTTCCCTTCCCCAAACCAGGTAACTTCTAGGATTGTGGTAACATCCATTCCCTGACTACAACATGACTACTCTCTCCAAAGTTTTGGTTCATAAACAAAGGTCTCTTATCTTCTCAGTGAAGCTCAAAATTTTCAGCTGTCCCCACTTTTCCTTTGGGAAATTTAGTGACTTAAGCCCTTGACAACTCACTGGAAGAATGCCTTCATGTCTACTTCTTTTTTCTTTTTTTAAAACAAGAGTTTCACTCTGTGGCCCAGGCTAGAGTGTCATGGCATCAGCCTAGCTCATAGCAACCTCAAACTCCTGTGCTCAAGTGATCCTCCTACCTCAGCCTCCCGAGTAGCTAGGACTACAGGCATGCACCACTACACTCAGTTAATTTATGTTTTTAGTTGAGACAGTGTCTCGCTTTGCTCAAGCTGGTCTCAAACTCCTGACCCCAAGTGAACCTCCTGCCTCAGCCTCCCAGAGTGCTGGGAATACAGGCGTGAGCCATCATACCCAGCCAAGAGTCTACTTCTATAAGACAGGGATCAGAGATCAGGGCTACTACCTAGGACCTCAGCAGCACTTAATGTGTGTTTCACTTGCCAATATAAACAGCCTCTTGATGACAAAAATCTCTTTTGTAGCTTAACAAACCAAGGGATTTTTCTGTATTTTTAGACACAAATATGATTAAAGAAATTTCAGAAAGCAGTGTGTGATTGATATAACTGAAAAATTACTACCAAGGGAGAACACAAAGGTAATTAATAAATTAGCAGAAATCCAGGTCTAGTTCAGGGTATAATTAGAATAATAGGCCTTGAACCAGACTAGGCATTCTATTACGTGACCCAACATATGAGATGTTTAAAGCATTTTGTGATAGCTATCCTACTTAAAAGAAACACAAGACCCTATACAGAAAAGATAAGATAGCATGCATCTGTAGAAAAGAAACATGAAACACCATCATGGGAAAGTCTGCCAGTTCCACTGTCAACAGGGATTTGAATCCTCTCAGTGATGTTTAAAATAAAACAAGATATTGGTCACATGCTAGTAAGGCCAGTTGTTTATTACTAAATCAGCAGATTTCTGTCCGTTATAAGATTTCTGAAACCGTAAGATTTGCTATAAAGCATAAAACCAAAATGGCTGACTGCTAGTTGACCCAAATTGTTCTTCCCTTCCTCCTGAGTATAAGTCTAACCACTTCTCTTGCAGCTATGTGTGGCCACCTGACTCATTTTGAACTGTGCAAGGCGAACAGGCATGGTAAGTGCAATTTCTGGGCATTTAAAACTTACTACCAGATGCTTATTCCCATACTCTCTCCCCCCCACCAAGCCTGGAACATGGATGTAACATTCAGTTCCAAACACACAGGTGAAGACTACAACCTAAAGAATGGTGAATTAATATGGAAGAAACATGGATCCCTGGTTGACCTTATGGAACACAGCTTCCCAGCTAACCTAGAGCAGCCATCCTGAAAGGCAAGAAACACAGTCTACCTTATTGAAGATATCAGGAATTCCTAACCTAAACCTCAGCTTAACCTTTAACTCACAGAACCAGTCAAATTCTCTCTTCTAGGCTCAGGAGCTCACATAGCCATTCAATTTTTGTAGTTACCCATCTCAATAAAGGAAACATATACACTTACTCCACTGCTTTCTTGTAAATTTCGATGGCTTTGTCCAAGTTTCCTTCCAGCAAGTGGATCTTCCCCAGCATTATGTAAGTCAGATCATGCCTATTAAGATGGAGGGCATTGTGCAACTGGTCTTGTGCCTGACAAGTTTGAAAGAGGAAAGAAAACCAAATAACTAAAACCACTAAAAAACAATGGCTTTATACTGTTCAGAGTTCCTACTGTACAGATCCAAGAACACATTTCATCAAATAGTCCCCACTGACAGGAGAGCCAGCAACACAAGATACATGCTTCTGGAGCCACTTGGGAGAATTTACTCAATATGATTAATTTTTCTGCAAGTTTTCTGCTTGAGTCATTCACAGCCATGACTCATACTTGATAAGTCAAAAGGAACATCCTAGTACAGTGTAGAGCACTGCATTCAACTCAATCCCAGTTGCACCACTGACCAACTGTACAGCTCTCCCCAGGTGGGCCTCATTTCCCCACCGATGTGATGATGAATGATGATGAATGAATGAAGTTCCCATTTATTCACTCGGCAAGTGTCCACCAAATGCCTGCTGTTCTAGATGCTAGGGATACTACATACTGGAGTTAGCAAAACAATCTCCTTGCTCTGGAGGAGCTTATATCCTAGTAGAGAACAAAAGGACTATCTATGTTTAGTCATTCGTCTATTCAACAAGTATTTATATAAATGCCAGGTATTTTATTTGCTTAGCCTATTAGCTTTACAGTAAAATCTAAATACAGTTCTTCTCCTCAGAATAAGGCCAACTAAAGACTAATACTTCTTCTCTTCAGGCTCTGAATTAATCTTGGGAATAGAACTATATCTACTCAAAATATTCTCTGAAGAGAAAAATCTCCTATGTACATAAAATTAAGTAATAAAACTGTAGACCCATCCAGGAAACCTAAGGAGCCCACCTATCTGTCTCACAGGAGAAAAGATTACTCTTATACCTCAACTGCTAATGTACAGTTTTTTAAATACTGGTGAGAGACAGATTAGGTTACACTAGTCTGCAAATTCACATGAACTAAACAAATGGGTATTAACTAATTCAGATCCTCAGCCCTGGTGGCATTTGGAGAGAGGATAATTGAAGAATTTCATAATCACTAAGTAGCAGCTCTATAAAGCAAACTACTCACCCACCACCACTAACTTTCAGAGTTCTCAATAATTTAATCTATTCCTCAATTAAGATATACATGGTGACCATAAAGTTTATGTGCAATTTATAACAGTGTACAATTTTAAATTGCACATGGACTTTATGGCCACCTTGTATGTATGTACACATTTTTATCTGAATAGCAAGGTAAGCTCAAACTGTTTTCTCTAAGAGTTTTAGAGGCTACAGCTTACTCAAAATGAAATATAAATTCTCATCATGGAAAATAACTAAAAAACTCAAACGAAAAACTCTCAGAAATCAGATCAACTTAAAATTTAAAACTTTTTTTTTTTTTTAAGAGACAGAGTGACTTTATCTCCCTCAGTAGAGTGCTGTGGTGTCATAGCTCACAGCAACCTCCAATTCCTAGGCTTAGGGAATTCTCTTGCCTCAGCCTCCTGAGTAGCTAGGACTAGAGGCACCTACCACAACGCCCAGCTATTTTTTTTTTTTTTGCTGTTTGGCTGGGGACAGGTTTGAACTGACCACCCTCTGTATATGGGGCCGGTACCCTAAACACTAAGCCACAGGCGCCACCCTCAAAACTCATTTTTAATGACCTCAAAAACTAAAATTAGTTGCTGGTGGAGCATGACATAGCTCACATGGTCATGATTACACATTTAAGGCTTATAGTTCACTTTTTAATATTTATATTTTATAAATATTAAATGCTAGAAATGGTTTATATGCTAGAAAATTAAACTGGATTTCGGTGCCTATAGCTCAGCGGCTAGGGTACTCGCCACATACACCAAGGCTGGCGGGTTTGAACCCAGCCCGGGCATGCCAAACAACAATGACAACAACAAAAAAAAATAGCCAGGCGTTGTGGTAGGTGCCTGAAGTCCCAGCTACTTAGGAGGCTGAGGCAAGAAACTGCTTAAGCCCAAGAGTCTGAGGTTGCTGTGAGCCATGATGCCATGGCACTCTACCAAGGGCGACACAGTGAGACTATCTCAAAAAAAAAAAAAGAAAGAAAGAAAGAAAGAAAGAAAGAAAGAAAAATTAAACTAGACGTAGAGAAAAAGAAGAGAGGAGAAAAGCAATTAGACTGTCATTCCCTCATAATATTTCTAGAATTTTCTATTTTTCTGTTAAAAGCAGAAAGAAACAGATGAATGATGACAAATGAGAATTAAAATGAGGAGAAATGTATAAAGGCACTTTCCATTTTTACTTCCCCAAACCACTGCAAGCATTAGGGATAATAATACAAATGAGCAGTATCACCTCTAACAAATGTACCCTCAGTGAAATCCATCACCACTTCTGTAAATTACCTTGTTGAACTGCTTCAGGTAAATATAGCAAACTCCTAGGTTATGGCAGATCTCCTACACACAAAAGAAAGGAAACAGCTTAAGTGTAATTCCACAGAAAGTATTAAGAGTGAAACAACAGACAACTAGAGATTGTTATTATTCAGCAAAGTTTAAACTTTAAAATATGTACCACAGCCAGCCTTTTCACTAGTCCATAGTTAAATATGTTTAATGCTATAAAACAAGCTCCTCCTTAATAAAAAAAATTAATTAATAAGAGATAAAAGCAGGCTGGGTACAGTGACTCATGCCTATAATCCTAGCTCTCTGGGAGACTAAGGCAGGTGCATCACTTGAGCTCAGGAGTTCCAGACCAGCTAGGGCAAGAGCAAGACCCCATCTCTACTAAAAATTAGTCTGGTGTTATGGCAGGTCCCTGTAGTTCCAGCTACTCAGGAGGCTGAGGCAGAATTACTTGAGCCCAAGAGTTTGAGGTTGCTGTGAGCTATGACACCACAGCACTCTACTGGAGCAAGAAAGTGAGACAGACAGAGGAGAAAGAAAAAAAAAGAAAAGAAAAGAAAAGAAAAGCAGAATAAACATGTAATCTTCCTGGGTCTATGTGGTACCCTGGGGTACATGCCCAGTCCATTTCCATATCCTTTTCCTCTAAGAGTTGCCTACCACCCACACCTTTTATGTCCTCTTCTCAGAAGAGACTACTCATAGCCCCTGCTGAGAGGACTGCTAGCCACCACAGTTCCACCCAGAAGCCAAGATAGATAGATTACAGAAAAAGGGACAACTGAGTCAACTGAAATCCTTTCCCTTGGAATCTGGGATTGGAATGAAACGAGCTAGTTCCAAACATTAAAGTTATTAGGTGATTTGGATTTGAGGCCTGACAGCGCCACCTGGAGGCCGCTATGGGGGAATATATGTATGTAATTGGCTGCCATCTGCAGAAGTCCAGAGCAGAGGTCAGAGAAACCATGGTCTACGGACCAAATCTGTTTCCTACACTTTTTATAAATAAAGTTTTATAGGAACACAGTCATGACCACTTGTTTTCAAAACATGGCTTTTTCCCACAAGAACTGCAGAGCTAAGTATTTGCAACTGACTCTGTAAGAAACCACAAAGCTTAAAATATTTACTAATTGGCCTTTACAAAACAGGTTTGCCAACCTCTGATCTACCGAAAGAAAAGATGAAGCAAAAAATGCAGAGTAGCTACTTTGGATGCTACAGTTTTTCAGTTCTAATTCACTACAAGACCAACCTGTATGTATCTCTTGATGCTACTTTATGGATTCTATCAAATTCCTTTATAATGAATCTCTCATTTATTTATTCAAAGTAGCTGTAGAGGGGAAAACTGCTCTTGGGAAACACAGTAAAGATCGTCCTGTTAGTAATGGGAATGTGTCCCTGCCCACAAAAACTTGGTTCCCCAGACTCAGAGATAAATGTTATAATATTCTCCTAAGTCTCCTAAAATAACAACAAAACAGCATTATTGAGCCCCTATCTATACATCGCATACATCAGGCTTTATATCAGATGTTTTTATATATGTTACTTTACTTTTCCCAGCATATGTACAACACAGTTACTGGGATTTTTTCTTTTTCTTTAGTTCTATATCCTAAGGAGAATTTTAACCATATAATACATACAAATGTAGACAGAATCACCACGTACTCATCATCCTGCCCCAATAACTGTCCAATCCATATCCCATCTACTTCTACTACTTTTTTTTTTTTTTTTGAGACAGTCTCTCACTATGTCACCCTTGGTAGAATGCTGTGGCATCATAGCTCACAGCAACCTCAGACTCTTGGGCTTAAGCAATTCTCTTGCCTCAGCCTCCCAATAGGTAGGACTATAGGAGCCAGCCACAACGCCCAGCTATTTTCTTGTTGCAGTTGTCACTGTTGTTTAGCTGGCCTGGGCTGGATTTGAACCCGCCAGCCTCGGTGTATGTGGCTAGCACCGTAAACACTGTGCTATGGGCAAGGAGCCTACTTCTACTACTTTTGTAAGTCACTACAAAACAGCACATTTCATCCACAAATATTTCAGTATGTATTTCTAAAGGATGAGGTCTTTTTTTAACCTCCCTACAGTATCATCATGCTTGAAAAAAATTGCTTTATGTCAGATACTAAACTATGTTCAAAATTCCAATTATCTCACAAATGTGTTACATTAAATTTTTTTTTCTTAACTCACAATTCAAATCCACATTACAAAGCACTGGGAGCTGAAATCAGGCTTCCTCCAAAACTTGTGTACTTCCCACTTTGTCAAGCTATAAGAATGTACACATGCAGATAGGGGAGAAATGCAGCATTTTTTGTTCTTTAAATGTCCTGAAAGCTAACTAACTACTAACCTTTTAAAATCATTTGGCATAGATATTATTTGAGAAGGCAGAAATATGCCTTAAAACAAACTGCAAAGGAAATCTGAAAGGAAAAGAGGTGTCCTCTGATTTGTATCAAAGACAAATTCTGGCTCAGAGCCTGTGGCTCAAGCGGCTAAGGCGCCAGCCACATACACCTAAGGTGGTGGGTTCGAATCCAGCCTGGGCCCACCAAACAACAATGACGGCTGCAACCAAAAAAATAGCCGGGTGTTGTGGCGGGCGCCTATGGTCCCAGCTACTTGGGAGGCTGAGGCAGGAAGCTCGCTTGAGCTCAGGAATTGGAGCTTGCTGTGAGCTGTGATGCCATGGCACTCTACCCAGGGTGACAGCTTGGGGCCCTGTCTCAAAAAAAAAAAAAGATAAATTCTATCTTTCATGAGGTGAGGGCATCCAGCAGTTATCCTGCAAAGTCACTTGGTATAGTGGAAAGATCACAAGCCATAAGCAAGGAAATCCTAGATTTTGTGCCTGAATTCCATCTCTGATTCTGTCACTATTTTACTGTGTGCCTTCAGCAAGTTATTCTATCTTCCAAAGCCTCACCTTCCTCACTTTGTCAATGTGGGAAATTCTCCCTTTTTAACAGAGCTATTCCAAAAGTCAAATAAAATAATGGTAGGAATGGCCAGGCACGGTGGCTCATGCCTGTAATCCAGCATTCTGGGAGGCCAAGACAGGTAGATTGCTTGAGCTCAGGAGTTTGAGACCAGCCTGAGCAAAGCAAGACCCCCATCTTTAAAAATAGCCAGGTGTTGTGGCAGGTGCCTGTAGTCCCAGCTAACTGGGAGACTGAGGCAAGAGGAATGCACAAACCCAAGAGTCTGAGGTTGCTGTGAGTTATAACGCCAGGGCACTCTACTGAGGGTAACAAAGTGAGACTCTGTCTCAAAAAAGAAAACGTAATGGCAGGAGGAATTATTATTTTCCTATTGCAACCAGAGTATGGAATACCCTGAGGAGTCCAAGAAAGTAAGGTTACAAGGTTTTCTACAAGAACTTAACAAGTTATGTAGGGTGGAGTGCTAGCTGTCTCAGGAATGACTACTTCTGGTAGTGCGAATGCAATGGTTATCCCAAGTGAGTCAGTGATACTAAATGCGCTCTTCTGACCAACTGGATAGATCAACAGATTTCTCCCCATGACCCTGAGCTCACCTATGTCCCTCTATGGGTTCTTTTCTTCGGCCCAGCTCTTTGTAACTGCTTTTCCCAGGGGTCCATCCTCAGCTCACTGCAAGGTGATCTCATCCAATGTCAGTTTCAATTACCACCTCTATGCTGTTGACTCCAAAATGTACATCTCTAACTCAGAACACTTCCACTTGAGATTTCTAGATCTAACTACACACTGGACACATCTCTATTTACATACTAGAACCTAAAACTTATGTCTAAAATCCTCTGAAAGACAGGATTCGACTCTCATTTGTTATCATCACCTTCTTCCCACATTTGCTCATTTTCCTTCCTGTATTTCCTATTTGATTATATCCACCAGTCCACCTTTGCCTCCAAGGCACAGCCTACCCCTGGCCCAGTGTCTAGCAATGTAGCAGACATTTATTTGTTGAAAAAATAACTGATTGGAAAAGTATATGAATTTTTCTTTATCTGTAGCTTCACTCTGACTGTTAGCTATACAATACTCCATAGCATAAGGACTCAAAACAACTCAATCTTTAGACCTCTAGAAGAAACTGACTGAAAAACTGAACACACTTCAAAAATAATAGTGCCATAAGAACAGCAAAGAAAACCCATGCTAACTCTCCATACTAATAAATCTAGCCCTCACTCATACATATGAATGTCTCTCCAATAACTATCAAATACTTGAGAAAAAACCAACAGCATTAAAAGAAGAACCAAAATGAAGAGAGAAAGAAAAGGATACTTCTGGGAAGCAGAACAGAACTTTAAGAATCAGAGATATTGAAGAGGCTATTACAAGATGGAAGTAGAAAATGAAACAGGCAAGTTAAGAGACATGGAGAAAAGGCAGAGAACATATTGAACAGAGAGTGGAAGACAGTATGACAGATACTACTGATTATCTACCGAATACCCACTCTCTTTTTTTCCTAACAGAACCCTAGTTTTGTTTAGAAACACAATGTGACCACACTAAAAGCTACATTTTCCAGCCATCCTTATAGAAGGGGTAGTAAGTGGACGTCTTAGGGACTTCCAGCAAAGCTCTGCTTTCCTGATATAGGCTCTGTCCTTTTCTCCGTATTGCTTTCTCTTTCTCCTTCCCTACAATGCAGATGTGATGTCAGAGCTGCAGCAGTCATCTATAACCATGAGGGAAAACGCTCAGTCTTGACAACCTAGGACCACCAAATCAATACCAGCAACTACTTACCTGGACTTCTTATGTCATGAGAATAAAAGGTAAACTTCTAATTTGCAAAGCCAATGTTTAGTCAAATTTTCTGTTGCAGTTACATACCACCTTCAATTGATACAAACAGACAATGGAGAGGAAAAAATAAAGAATTACTCAACTAGACACCTATTGCTGACACGTTGTAACTTCAGTGATAAAGAAAAAGATACCCAAAATTTCTAGAGAGTAAAGTAGGGTCATCGACAAAATCAGACTGATAAAAGATTGCTTATCAGAAACACTGACTGTTTTGATCCTGTACTTAGTAGACAAATTATCAATTAAGTATTAGAATAAAGGTATTTTATTCTGGCATGTGAAAATTCAGAAATAACAGCATATGCTAGCTATATGATAAATGGGGCCATGTGCATGTTTAGTAATAAGAAAGAACTGAAAGCTCCCACTTACCCAGTCTTTCTGGTTAAGTTTAGCTGCTTCATTATAGACTTCAGTAGCAGCTTTATGTTTTCCCAAAAGAAATCTGTGGAAGATACATTTTCCAGAATCATTACCTCAGAATTCTCAGATTAATCCCACTAGTCCCACATTTTACTCACATCTCATCCAGCAGAGAATTCTGGAAGCCTTTTGCCTATGAGCTGATTGTGCTGGTTTGGCCAGTGAGGCTGCTGTACACAACAGCAGAGGTTTTCTTTGTTGGGACTGCACTGGTAGCTGTTCCCAGGGCCTTGGTCTCATTCTACACCAATCTTTCTTTTTTTCTTTGACACAGAGTCTCACTCTACCCAGAGTCTCACCCTGCCTGGGTAGAGTGCCATGGCATCACAGATCACAGCAACTTCAAACTCTGGGCTTAAGTGATTCTCTTGCCTCAGCCTCCCAAGTAGCTGGGACTACAGGAACCTGCCACAAAGCCTGGCTATTTTTTAGAGACGGGGTCTCACTCTTGCTCAGGCTGGTCTCAAACTCCTGAGCTCAAGCGATCTACCCACCTCAGCTTCCCAGAGTGCTAGGATTACAGGTGTGAGCCATCACACCTGGCCCAGTGAATGTTTTCTGTAATTTTTTTCCTACAATGTCCTGTAAATGTAGACCAAAAGAGAAGACAAGTGATATCCCCTATTAAGCAATAGCTGCCACTGTTTAGCATCATCCACCAGGTACATGTCCTTTCCTTCTAAGCCTAAGACTCTTTCCTTAATATTATTAGAGCATGAGTTTGGGGAGAAACAGGAAAACCAGGCTCTTGCAAAAACAATGCAGGTGGGCAGCGCCTGTGATTCAAGGAGTAGGGCACCGGCCCCATATACTGGAGGTGTTGGGTTCAACCCAGCCCTGGCCAAAAACTGCAAAAAAAAAAAAAAAAAAAAAAACTCAATGTAGGTATGAATGACAAAGTAGGTAAGAAACTGGAGATGAGTACTTCATCAAATAGAGTACTGGAAAGAGGGTATACCTGATAGCTTATTAAGACTTCAGAGGTTGCTTCCATCCAGGAACCCTCAGGACACTCACTCAACAAATACAAATGCTCATCAATTTATGGCAGTTATGTCCTGATAAACTTGTAGTAAGTTAAGAATATTGGGGCACACGTAATTTCCAAAGCAACTCATATAATCAAAACATTTGTACCCCATAATATTCTAATTTTTTAAAAATTTAAACAAAAAAGAAAAAAGTCAGAAGTATATTTAATACATCTAACCTACTGAACATCACAGCTTAGCCTAGCTAAATAAATGTACTCAAAACACTTAACATTAGCTTAAGTTGAACAAAATTATCTAACACAGGTCTTTTTATAATAAAGTATTGACTATCTCAGGTAACTGAATATTGAACTGAAAATGAAAAACAGTATGGCTGCATGGGTATTCAAAGTACAGTTTCTACTGAATGAATATCAATTTTGCACCACTATAAAGTTGAAAAATCATGTAAGTCAAACCATCATAACCAGGGAACTATCTGTTCCCTTATCTATCTGTTCCTTAACTATCTGTTCCCTGTTTCTGTACTTACTTACTACCTACTGTGTGTCAAATATTATGTGAAATACGGAAGAGTAGATGAGAAAAATTCCATGGGTTGCTAATATGATTGGAGGACTTAGGGCACAAGATGCCATTATTCACATGGTAAACATTATTAGTGTTCTCCCATCAAATTAGAATGTACAGTGTTTTAAATACTTAGTTCCTTAATCCTAGTTATATCATTTTCTCAAATTTAAAAATTAATCTATGCTCTTCAAAACAAATGCCTTTATACCTATTAAACCATGTTTGCCTTATATACCAGGCTGATCAAGCTGCCCGCAGCGGGCTGGGCCTGACAATGCATTTTACATCATTCTCTGTGAGTGCCCTATAGCCTCCAAGCAGATAGTACTCACAAAGATCTGGCCACCTGCTTGAGGTTATCAGCACACTGAGGACTGAGAACTGCACATGTCTGAAAGAGTTCTAGGGATTCTTGGATATTTCCTTCTAGGCGAAGTATCAATGCTGCCAAGAAACAGAAAATATCAGAAAATAACACCATATTCTGGGAAGAAAGCCTGGCATCAGAAAATTGTAGAAGAAAGTGGGAAACTACACGAATGAAATCCTTTGGATAATTATATCTTCTTGTTATTAAATCATAGCTGTGTACATTAATGCAGTCATGGGGTACAATGTGCTGGTTTTATATACAATCTGAAATATTTTCATCAAACTGGTTAACATAGCCTTTATGGCATTTTCTTAGTTATTGTGTTAAAACATTTATATTCAACATTTAGTAAGTTTCACACGTACACTTGTACGATGCACCGCAGGTGTGGTCCCACCAATTACCCTTGGATAATTATATCTTTAGTACAATCAGATATGACTTAGGATGAGCTGAAACAACAAGCAAAGCTGATGGCAAGCCAAAACCATTTTTTTTTTTTGAGACAGAGTCTCACTCTATCGTCCTGGGTAGAGTGGCCTGGTGTCAATAGCTCACAGCACCTCAAACTCTTAGACTCAAGCAATCCTCTTGCCTCAGCCTCGGAGTAGCTGGGAATATAGGCACCCACAATGCCCAGCTAATTTTTCCATTTTTAGTAGAAATGGGGTCTACTCTTGCTCAGGCTGGTTTCAAACTCCTGAGCTCAGGCAATCCTTGGCCTCCTAGAGTGCTAGGATTACAGGGGTGAGCCACCATGCCCAGCCCACAACCGTTGTTTTTAAATAAGGTAGCTCAAACTGACCAATTTCTCTACTGCCGGCATCCACCACACAGATAGTTACCATACAAATTGTCACATATACTCTTTACAATAAGAACACCAGATGCTTCATTTATTATGATAATTCAGACTTCTACCTGATAAGTTTTCAGAGAGAACTCCCAGATGGGGCAAGTAGAATAAGTACCCCTAGTTCTAAAGGGAGATTCTAGCAAAAAATACACTAATATTTCAGACTTTGGTTTTCAGTATAGCAAGCAATCAGAATCAATAATTTTTCCTAGGCCTAAATTTTTCAAAGAATTTATCAGGCACTGAAGGTTTAGAACTTGTAATATTGGGAATAAAAGAATATTTTTTTGCTATACTGTCCTACATGTATGGATATTGTAATAATTATGTCAGAAAATCATCTATTAATCTAAAGATTATAAATGTAATAAATGGTAAACAAAACCATTCATTTACATTGAAGAATCAAAAAGGAAGTTCCTGCTGGGTGTGGTGGTTCCTGCCTATAATCCTAGAACTTTCAGAGGCCGTGATGGGAAGATTGCTTGAGATCAAGAGTTCGAGATCAGCCTGGACAATATCAAGACCCCTGTCTCTACAAAAAAATAGAAAAATTAGCTGGGTATGGTGGTGTGCCATGTAGTATCACTTCCTCGGAGGCTGAGCAGGAGGATCCCTTGAGCCCAGAAGTTTGAAGATGCAGTGAGCTATATGATACCACTGCACTCTAGCCAGGGTAACATAGTGAGACCTTATCTCAAGAAAAAGAAAGTAAGTTACTGGAAAAACTAAGGATGCTACTTATGGCTCTAAAAGAATAAAACTCAAGTCAGTGGTTCCTATACTTGGTTTTTTTTTTTTTTGAGACAGAGCCTCAAGCTGTCCCCCTGGGCAGAGTGCCGTGGCATCACAGCTCACAGCAACCTCCAACTCCTGGGCTCAAGCGAGTCTCCTGCCTCCGCCTCCCAAGTAGCTGGGACCACAGGCGCCCGCTACAACGCCCGGCTATTTTTTGGTTGCAGCCGTCATTGTTGTTTGGCGGGTCCGGGCTGGGGATTCGAACCCGCCACCTTAGGTGTACGTGGCTGGCGCCTTAGCCGGTTGAGCTATAGGTGCCGAGCCCCTATACTTGGTTTTTAATGAGTTTAATTTATTCTCTGCTTTATCTTGTGAACCTCTAGGTTTCTACCCCTTTTACAAAAAAGGCCTTTTCTTATCTCTTTTAGTGTAATTACAAGGAACCCTTCCAAAAACCATCTTCTGGCTTGGAAATCACTGCACAAGACAGGAGTCCTATGCATCCATTCTGAAAAACATCAGCCATAAACTAAAAGAAGGGTGAAGGATGGTAGCAAAATTTTTAAGGGTATTAATCATTTCTGCAGTGAAATCCAGCACAAGAATTACGTTCAGGTTTCAAAAAAAAAAAGATAATACTGAATAAGACCTTTGTGAAACATTTATAGTTGTGCTCCATATAGCAATGTTTTGGTCAACAACGGCCACGTACCCAACAGTGGCCCCATAAGATAATAATGGAGATGAGTAATTCCTATTGCCTAATGACGGCATAGCTAACATAATAGTGTGATGCATTACTCACCTGTTTGTGGTGATGCTGGTGTAAACAAACCTACTGCACTACCATTCATATAAATGTATAGTACGTACAATTATGTATATTACATAATACTTGATAATGAGTATGTTATTGGCTTATGTATTTACCACATTTTTTATCCTTACTATAAAGTGTACTCCTTCTACTTACTAAAAAGAGCAAGTTAACTGTAAAACAGCCTCAGGTATGTCCTTCTGGAGATATTCCAAAGAAGGCATGGTTATCATCACAGATGATAATGCCAATGAAGACCTTCTAATACAACAAGATAAGGAGGTAGAAGACAGTGATGTTGACAATCCTGACCCTGTGTAGGCCTGGGCTAATGTGTGTGTTTGTGTGTCTGTGTGTATCTTTGTTGTTGCTGCTATTGTTTGAGACAGACTCTCAGTTTGTCGCCCTGGGTAGAGTGCTGTGCTATCACAGCTCACAGTAACCTCAAACTCTTAGGCTTAAGCAATTCTCTTGCCTCAGCCTCCCAAGTATCTGGGACTAAAGGCACCCACCACAACGCCCAGCTATTTTTAGAGAAGAGTTCTCGCTCTAACTTAGGCTGGCCTCGAATTTGTGAGCTCAAGCACTCAACCCACCTCAGCCTCCCAGAGAACTGGGATTACAGGTGTAAACCGCCATGCCGGGCCTGTATTTTTGTTTTTAACAAAAAAGTTTAAAAGTAAAAAATAAATAAATAAATATAAAAGTTTAATTGAAAAAGCTTGTAGAATAAAGGAGATGAAGAAAATATTTTTATACAGTTGTATAGTATTGTTTTTGATTTAAGTAGCTACTACAAAAGTGAAAAAGAAAAGTTTCTTAAAAGTTTACCAAGTAGGCTCCGCACCTGTGGCTCAAGCGGCTAAGGCACCAGCCACATACACCTAAGGTGGCAGGTTCAAATCCAGCCCGGGCCCACCAAACAACAATGATGGCTGCAACCAAAAAATAGCCGGGCGTTGTGGCGGGCGCCTGTGGTCCCAGATACTTGGGAGGCTGAGGCAGGAGACTTGCTTGAGCCCAGGAGTTGGAGGTTGCTGTGAGCAGTGAAGCCATGGCACTCTACCCAGGGGCTCAGCTTGAGGCTCTGTCTCAAAAAAAAAAAAAAAGTTTACCAAGTAAAAAGTTATAGTAAGTTAAGGTTAATTTATCACTGACAAAAAAATTTTTTTATAAATTTAGTGTAGTCTAAGTGTACAGTGTCTTAAAATACATAATAGTATAAGGCATGTAACAGGCATTTACATATACTCACCACTAACTCTTCCAGAGCAATTTCTAATCCTGCAAGCTCTTTTCTTTCATACAGCTGTACCATTTTTAATTTTTTATACTGTATTTTTACTGCCCGTTTTCTATGTTTAGATACACTTATGACTATGTCACAACTGCCTACAATATTCAGTACAATAATGCTATTCAGGTTTGTATCCTAGGAGCAATAGGCTATTCCATATAGCTTAGGTGTGTTATAGGCTATACTATCTAGGTTTATATAAGTATGTTCTATAATGTCCACACAACGGCAAAACTGCCTAATGGAGCATTTTTCAGAACATATCCATATCGTTAATAGGTATGTGACCACACTTGAATATTTCGTAAGTTATTTGATCTTTTTCAAGAATCCAGGCAAAATGTATTTCTCTAACAAGAAGAGAATATATATCTTACCTTGGACATAAATAGCATATTCACACAACCCGTGAGTCTCCTGTAGCTGTTCTTTGATAACAGCCTGAAAGAGGAAGAAAAATACTTCTGAGCGGCGGTTAAGTTTCTTCAAGTCTTTAAGAAAAGGTAGATAGGGCGGAACCCATAGCTCAGCGGGTAGGGTGTTGGCCACATACACCGAGGCTGGCAGGTTCGAATCTGGCCTGGGCCAGCTAAGGCAACAATGACAACTGCAACATCATCAACAACAACAACAAATAGCCGGGCGTTGTGCCAGGCGCCTGTAGTCCCAGCTACTTGGGAAGCTGAGGCAAGAGAATCCCTTAAGCCCAAGAGTTTGAGGTTGCTGTGACCTGTGAGCTGTGGCAATCTACCTAGGGTGACAGCTTGAGATTTTGTCTCAAAAAAAAAAAAAAAAAAGGTAGAAAAATAAGCCTCAGCACCCATAGCTCAGTGGTTAGGGCACTGGCCACATACACTGGGGCTGACGGGTTCGAACTCAACCTGAGCCTGCTAAACAATGACAACTACAACAGAAAAAATAGCTGGGCGTTATGCAGGCACCTGTAGTTCCAGCTATTTGGGAGGCTGAGACAAAAGAGAACCCCAGAGTTTGAGGTTGCTGTGAGCTGTGACGCCATAGTACTCTACCAAGGGTGATAGTGAGACTCTGTCTCCAAAAAAAAAAAGAAAAGAAAAGGTAGATATGGCTGGGCATGGTAGCTCATCCCTATAATCCCAGCACAGGGTGAGAAGCTGAGGTGAGAGGGTGAAAGGATCACTTGAGTCCAGGAGTTCAAGACCAGCCTTGGCAACAGAGGGAGACCCCAGTTCTATGAAAAATAAAAATAATTAGGCTAATTAGCTAAGTAGCCTCAGGTACTCAGGAATCTGAGGCAGGAGGAGCTTTTGAGCCCATGAGTTCAAGGTTATAGTGAGCTGTGAATACACTACTGAACTCCAGCCTGAGCTTTTTAAAAAAAAATGTAAAGAAAACATAAGAAAAAACACAGCAAAAAAAAAAAAAAAAAAACCAAAGGGGCGGCACCTGTGGTTCAGAGGAGTAGGGCACCAGCCCCATATGCCGGAGGTGGTGGGTTCAAACCCAGCCCTGGCCAAAAACAAACTAAAACAAAGTTAAGAAAAAGTAGATACAGGCTTGGTGCCTGTAGCTCAAGTGGCTAAGGCACCAGACACATACACCTAAGGTGGCAGGTTCAAATCCAGCCCGGGCCCGCCAAACAACGATGGCTGCAACCAAAAAATAGCCGAGCATTGTGGCGGGTGCCTATGGTCCCAGCTACTTGGGAGGCTGAGGCAGGAGACTTGCTTGAGCCCAGGAGTTGGAGGTTGCTGTGAGCTGTGATGCCA